GTTAAATCTTCTGTTTATCCAGCTACCGCTATAGGCATTTCCTGGGTTTCTTCTGCGAAGCGTATTTGGGGTTTCAGCGCGAGAGCGCCCTCTGGCCTTTGGATGGAGATTTACTGCTGATCACAGAACCGTGCTTCACTGAAAGATACGCATGACAATCGCAGCTTCTGTCGAATCGCAATCTCGCTTCCATTTCGATTTATCGTGCAGCCCTACTAACAACACCCTAGAAACCTCTCAAACACCCTCAGCAGCATCCCAAAACACCCTAACAACACCCTAGAAACCTCAAATCCCTTTAGCAACAACCCAGAACACCCTAGCAACGCTCTAGAATTCTCAAACCCCCTTAGCAACATCCCATAACACCTTAGCAACACTCTAGAAACAGTCGAGATTAGGGAGTAAAGACAACATTTATTTTCTCTGTATAGAAACATGGATATTCTGGTATTATATGGTTAGTTGCATTTTATGATTTGGCATTATTTCTTCCCTGCCCTCTGTGACCCCATCAAAACAGATGTTTGACCCATTTAAAACTGGATGCTTTTTTCTGTCAAAGAATAAAAAAAAATCTCTTACAATTCGGACATTTTCCCCACACAATTCTAACTTTTAAGAATTCTGAGTATATATCTTGCAATTCTGAGTATGCGTTTCTGTTTGTTTCAGTCGGCTGCATTAACATATCAGTTTTCTTTCTCACGTCACTAGCTTTAAATATGCAACTTCACAAATGCATAAAAGTGACCAAGTGGACATAAACCACTGCAAATAGATGGTAACAATCGTGACATCAAACATTTGGGTCGACGTGCGTGTGTTTTGGTCACATTGGGTCTCATTCACTAAGCATGCGTATGCACAAATTTGTGCACGAAACCTATGAACGTTTTCATGAACAAATCATGATTCACTGAAACATTCATACCAAAATTTATTATGAACTTAAGAAAAAATATAGGAACAGCTGAAAGCACACATACACAAAAATCGCACTCTGGCCACACTCTAATCCAGGGGTGCCCAAACTCAGTCCTGGAGGGCCGGTGTCCTGAAGAGTTTAGCTCCAACCCCAATTAAACACACCTGAACCAGCTAATCAAGCTCTTACTAGGCATACTAGAAACTTGAAGGCAGGTGTGTTGAGGCAAGTTGGAGCTAAACTCTGCAGGACAGCGGCCCTCCAGGACCGAGTTTGGGCACCCCTGCTCTAATCCAGTGGCGGTTCGGGGGTTTTAAAATAGAGGAGGCACACTAATGGCGCTTTTCCACTGCATGGTACGGCACGGTACGGAAAGAGTAAGAAAAGCTGCGTTAGTCTATGTACATGTACAGCTGGCTATTGAAAAAAGCTCTGTAAACTGGGTCTGTATAAAAGGTGTTTTGTGTATGAACTGATTTTGAGGACTGCACACTTGGCATTGCTCAAAGATCCGGCGAGAGTGCATCTGTAGACAGTGCGTGTCATATGGGTTTGCGTGGAGTATCTTTGACGAGAGTAATGATCGGCTGGAAGGAAAACCCTTATATGGAGATGGTCTGGGCGTGTTTCATGCAAACAACTAACTTTGTGCACGTGGCGGCTCACTTAGAATACTTCAAATTAGGGATGTAACGGTATGAAAATGTCTTATCACGATTATAGTGACCTAAATTATCACGGTTATCAGTATTATTACTGTATTGTTAAAATGTGCCGGAATGTACTGACACAAATCGTTTCAGCAAGCTTTGTATTTAAAATCAACAAACAATAAATAAAATGACTTTGTTGCATAAACATTACCAAAGATGTCCGGATTTTAAATGACAACATTACTGAATAGCATGTACGAATTGTTCAAATAAAGCTTTGAAAACGTCTAAAACCTCACATTTCAGCCTTTAAATAAAGAAAGGGGTTAAGTCAAAATGATAATTAATAAATAATTACATGTAGCCTATTGTATCTGCTCCATAAATAATTATAGATACCTTATACGAATTGTTTGGATGTGTAGACTCCACATAAATTGTTTTTCATCAACAGGTTAAAATTTACAGCAGTGCATGCAAATTTGGTCCGTTTTTTTGGCCAGACAGAAACCGCACACAGGCTGAATGTAAATGTAACTCTCTGTAAATCCGCTCTCTGACACTGGGTGGCGCTTTTGGAACAGCAGAATTAGAGCAGTTTCCCGTAACCTCCGAGGACAAAGCAGCATTAGGCCTACTTTATTAGGTATTACATGGAGCGAAGATGAAAACAATGCCATCGAATCTTTTCTGAAGACAGCCAGAACCTTCAGAGGTACATTTATATAATTAATTCATTCATATATTAATTTGTATAATTCCCTTAGCACTCTTTTAAAACCGCCCAGCTTTCTGCCATGTTTCGACACAAAACTAAACTAACGTTTGACCATTAAATGATCGTCAAATCGGTAATCGTTCCATCCCTATTCCAAATTCACTAACATTATGACGAGGTTAAGAACAAATTCATGCGTGTATGCACGCGTTGTGAATTAGGCGGAAAGTTTTCGTGAGAAGTTAGAAATGTGCATATAAATACGAATAATCTACGCAATTATTAGTGAATGAGACCCCTTGTGTTAACAGCTTGGTGCTACTAATCTTAACGTCCTCTCAGCTTTGACGACAAACATCCTGTTGTTTTGTTCCCTATTAATGCAGCATCTAGTTAACATTAATTACTTCATAATGATATGAAAACATGTACTGTAGTGTGCTGTATACGTACGTTTTCGTTGTCTATGTTTTAAATCCACATCCGAAGTTTACCGCTCTGTGTAGCACGCAATGTCACGTGTCAAAACAAACAGCACGCAGTGTCAGTGATTTGCCTCTAGAGGCTGCTCTTGTACTGTATAATGACAGCGGAGCTTATCAGCCGCTCAAACAACGGACACAACACGGAAAAACTATTGGTATGGATATTTGCCGATAGCTACCTATGTATAGAAACCAATCAATTGAGAAATATAAGCTTGCAAATCTGAGAAGAAAAGTCAGAATTACAAGATATAAACACACAATTCTGACATTTTTTTAATTACATTTTTTTTTTACCCCGTAGCGGAAACAAGCTTCCATAGAAAACCCCCGTCATTGTTGTTGTTTCCTGTTTGGATCTGTTTCAGCGCTTAACAGGCCCAGAAGAGACGAGCGTGTCTGTTTGAGTGATGGGATGCGACTGCAGAATCATGTTGCTGTTGTGTCCATGAAATTGTTTATGAGTCGAGTGCTGCGCTTCCATGACAGCGACATGCTATAATAAATTGTTCCCACTGATGCTTAAGCGCTCGTCTATTGTTTTGTGTCACTCCAGCTGCTGAGATATATCTCACTGAAAGAAATGACCCAGTTACATTTACTCTGAAATTAAGAATTGCATTACAGGAGCTGATGTTCGGCTCAGTTCAGTGAGTTTGTAAATATTGATCAGAATGATTTACAGATAATCCAACTAATGCAAGTGTTCATTTTGGTTGTCCTTTGATCATACAGTGATTAAATAGGCACGACAATTAAACACCTGATGGTGTAAATAGCAACAGTTTATCTGGTCACCATGTAGGATTATTCATTCAAAACAATGAGTCATTAATAAAGCAATAAGCCACTTGATATATTAGTGATTTTTAACCATGGCTATTGCTTTTATACAATGGCAGCAACAGCAATAGAACACACCAGTATTCAAATAATAGTTACATTTTAGTCATAATCAGAACAATAATTTCAAGCATTTAAGCTTTAATTCCTTAGGTCAAAATATTCAACTCGTGTGAAACTATATGTAAATATTCTACTACTTAAAAGTTTTTGTGTTTTGAAAAACTTTTATTGAGCAATGATTAGGGATGTTCATTTCGGTTATTTTTCCTACCGACAACCGACGCTCGTTAACTGATTATTAACCGTTAACCGACAAGATTATTTTAAATTAGAAATGAATTAAATTAGAAAAGATAAGTATCTGTGACCCGTTAAAAATACTAACATTTGTTTCCCGTGGATTAATTTTACATGCGCAAAAAGCAGCAAACAACAGAACATGAGAATTCACATATGGTCATATCACATCACGCACCTGCAGCGCTTCTGCGAGCGGAGAAAAACATTATATAGCCTAGCTTTATTTATTTATATATATATATATATAACGAATAAATAGGCCTATACGAGAAATATATTTTTACTTAAAAAAAAATTAAGAAAATGAAAGAAAAACTGTAACAAGTAGCCTAGTATGCAGAGTTTCGGTTCATTTTTGTGCTGCGCGAAAGGAAACAGACAGCAGAAAGCTGCATCCTATTTTTCTTTAGGCTTATTTTACAAAAGCACAAAGATTTGTTTTTATTGTGAATGTACACAAATAAAGGCAAACCTTTTACAATTCTGATTAT